GAGGATAAAGAAAGTTGGTGGGCAAATGGGAAAGAAAGAGGCATCTCTTCCCTCTGCCTCCCCGTCTTTACCAGGAAAATGGACACTTCACTGCAAATGGTAGGATGGGAGAAAACAGTATTTTCCTCTCTAAACCTGTCACTATGCTCTACTAATCCCCTCTCTCCCAGCTATCTAGCTTTCCCCTACCATCTCCCACCAACCCTGCCGCACACACCACCACTTCACCCACATCTTCAGTCACCAGTTGATTCCATTCTTCCCTACATTCAGCCTATCCCCCTCAGCTCAGAACCCCTCAAGTTCCCTCATCTCCTTCCAGTGCAACCCTCACCAGTTCAGAAATGCATTTCCTGTCCCCCCCACAGCCACCCTCCCCAGTATGAGAGACTCTCTTCTTCCTTTAACTTCACAGCTGAGCACCACCATCCTCAGCTCTGAACCCTTTCATCAAGTTATTTTTTGTTACTAGTTAAGTTATCCTAAAACGTGCCTGTCACCACTGAAATGTTATACCTGCTACCCTGTTAATGCTTGTTTTGCCATTCAGCCTACAGCATATCCTTCCCCACAGTGGTTCCTAATGATAACTGCGGCCCAGGGAACACTATCTGGCAGAAAAGGCACAAGCGACTCAGTTTAAGTCAAGAAGATTTAGAAAAAGACCACCTCTTCCCTGATAGAGGACTCCATCCTTACTATTTGTTGAGATAAGTAACGTAGCTCACACTCAAGCAATTTCTGGCCACGTTCAGAGACTAAATAATGTCTTTATTTTGTCAGCTTCATAAATATAGATACAATATGTACACTCCTAGCACTGCACAAATTGCATGTTCACCACCAGATTAGAAATACCCCACAAAAGAGAGCATTTATTTTAGAGAGATGACTTTTGAGAACAAGAATTAGCAGTATCCAAACACACACTATAGCAAGGCTTTGATTCACTAGCACAATAGATATAGAAGCTATATTAAGTCTAGTTGGTTTTCCATGCCAGAAAATTACTAGCCTTTGTATTAAAAGCATTTGAGGTATGACAGAAGGACACCTTTTCAAAGGCAGCCTGAGGCCCTAAATCCTGCTAGTTACAATGCAGTGGACAGATCCCTGCACGGCACCCAGCAGCGTAGCTAGGGGGGTAGGTGGGGGGAGGAGCCGCTCCCCCACTGAGCACAAGTGGTGCCTTGTCAGTTTCCTGGCGCCTTTGTACTCACCCGGGAGAGCAATAAAAAAAAAAAGGTGCCACCCGCTGTGGCGCTTTTATTTTACTCACCCGACAGCGCTCCGGGTCTTCGGCAGCATTTCGGCGGCGGGACCTTCAGTGCCGCCGAAGACACCTGGAGCGAGTGAAGGGCCCGCGGCCGAAGACCCGGAGCGCCGCCGGGTGAGTAAAAGTGCTGCAGCGGATGGGGCTTTTTTTTTTTTTATTGCTCTCCTTGTTCCCTCCACCTGGCTACGCCACTGACGGCACCCCACCAACTTCAGTGGGGTCTCACACCGATGCTGCACCCACTTGCACAGAGTAACTTGCACAACTCTGGCCTAAATTTTTTAATTTTGTGTGCAAAAAAAATAGGCTAATTTGACATCACTGATTTGTATGGACAAATGCCATTTGTACTCTCAAATTTGAGTCTGTGTGCATAACACTTAGTCCTGCCATGAGTGCAGGGGCCTGGACTAGATGACCTTTCATGGTCCCTTCAAGTCCTATGATGATTAATTATATGAGCAAATAGAAATTTGGCCTAGAAAGTTTGAGAGATCTGTGAAAGTAGTCCTTCACGTGTTTGTGTATATATACAATGCTACAAATCTGGCTACTACATATATATCCACACAGAATTGTACTCATATAGATATAATAACCTTAGTGGCAGAAATGTTGAATGTTTAAAGGTATGCTATATCTAAATTGTAAAAATTGCATCCCAGAAAGAAGCAGGCCATGGGATGTCGATATTTCAGATTTTCAGGATCTCAGTCATCTGTTGTTCACTGTCGCCATTTTTAAGCCTTCATTATTTTTATGAATTCCTTCTTCTCTGAAGTTTTTTGACTTTATATTTAAGTCTGAAACTAGAAGAAATAATGTCATCATAAGTGCAACCTTTTAGCACAAATTTTAAAAAAACCCAAGAACAATGTGAAAACAAGAAATACATGTAACATATAAACCAGGCTGGGGATTGTAACTGTGGTGTTATACACATTACAGGCCCTCCTGCTGGTGGGTTTTTCCATTTAATTTTAGGGTTGCATACAGCTTGATATCTATCCTTCCAAAGAGTTGTTCTGTCAGCTGACCAAGTTGAAAAGAGAAGTTCTTCTTTGCAAGGCAGAACAGCTATGCTGATCAAGATTAATAGGAGGAACATCTTAGCTTTTAAGATCCATGTTGATCATTTTAGCTGAGCTGTATGCATGCAGTTGTTTGCAGATCTGGTTTCCTCATCTCAAAAAAGATATATTGGAATTGGAAAAGGTACAGGAAAGGACAACAAAAATGACTAAGGCTGGGAACAGCTTCCATATAAGGAGAGATTAATAAAAGGGGACTTTTCAGCTTGGAAAAGAGACGACTAAGTGGGGATATGATAGAGGTCTATAAAATCATGAATGGTGTGGCAAAAGTAAATAAGGAAGTGTTATTTATTCCCTCTCATTATACAAGAACTAGGGGTCACCAAATGAAATGAATAGGCAGTAGGTTTAAAACAACCAAAAGGAAGTATTTTTTCACACAGCGCACAGTCAGCCTATTTGCCAGAGGATGTTGTGAAGGCCAAGACTATAACAGGGTTTAAAAAAAAAAAAACTAGGTAAGTTCATGGAAGATAGGTCCATCAATGGCTGTTAGTCAAGATGTGCAAGGATGAAAAAACATACTCTGAAGTGTCCCTAGCCTCTGTTTGCCAGAAGCTGGGAATGGGTGAGAGGGGATGGATCACTTGATGATTACCTGTTCGGTTCATTCCCTCTGAAACACCTGGCATAGGCCACTGTCTGAAGATAGGATACTGGGCTAGATGGACCCTTGGCCTGTCCCAGTATGGCTGTTCTTATATATGGGTCTGATGGTTAAATAGACTTGTCATTCCATAAAACCATACATGCACATATGTCAGCCTTTGGTGTTTCTCCTCCATGTTTCTAACATTATCTAATCAACCACTGTAGAATTAGAACCATTCTGATAACATTAATAGTCACAAGAGTGCTGGTTCCTGTTCCCATTGCAACCAAACTCCTACTGATTTCAGTGGGAGCAGGATTGGGCCCTTCATTACCTAGAAAACATATTTAAGTTTTATTTAGTTAGAAGCTCTTGCTAGACAAAATTGGAGATGGTCCCAAACCAAAAACTATCATGCTGATTTCCAATGGAAATCGATGCATTAGATATTGGTGGCTGCAGTAACTCCCTCCGGTGCATGCAGCAACTCAAAGGAAACAGGGAAGGATTGTACAGGTGTGAAAGTGGGCTCCAATAGCAGCATGACTCCAAATGAATCCATTTTGCATGGGGACTTTGAAAGCCATGCAAAAGGGATGATCGTTTTTTGGGATGAACTGGACTTTGCACAGTTTTCTGCTGACTTCTAAGAGTGCCATACCCTCTTTCTTTTATGCCTGAGTTCAAGCACCTCCTCATGAGGGGTAGGTATGTCAGAAGCTCTGTGAGATTTACCTTGGGCTTAAACTCTAGTTTTGGGTGCATGTGTTATCCTTCCACAGGTTTCCTTGTTGGAGTTGTATAAAGCACTGTACTATTTGTCCCTTTGAGGTTTGCCTATAAATCTATATTTAACTCATTTAATTATCATGCTAGAGAAAAGTAATTATTCTAATAATAAAACAAAATTAATTATTCTTTCCCTTTAATAACCAAAGCCCCCACAAATATATCATGGGAGTTAACCTTGACTACTAGCTCAGGACTCAGGACTTTTTGCAGGTAGATTTTACTACTTAGCTTGTAAGCTCTTTGAGGCAGGAACCACCTTTTTGTTCTGTATCTGTACAGCTCCAAGCACAATGGGGTTGTGGTCCATGACTAGGGCTCCTAGGTGCTATGGCAATATAAATAATAAATAAAAGTAGATATAACAGTTGTTCTGGTAGATCACTTATTTTAAGAGCAACAAGACGACAGACTGGTTACAAACACTCACATGTTGGCTCCCAATAATTTGGTCTGAGATACTGACATTCAAGGTTAAACGTGCTACGCTTGGCCCTGCATGAGCCCAGAATTAGGGAAGTGCAAAAGTGGCTTAAAGCCACTTTTACCCTCTCCCTGCTTTAGGGTGACCAGATGTCCTGATTTTATAGGGACAGTCCCGATTTTTGGGTCTTTTTCTTATATAGGCTCCTATTACCCCCCACCCCCTGTCCCAATTTTTCACACTTGCTGTCTGCTCACCCTACACTGCTTGGACTCTAATTCTTATGCTAAACCTCTGCAGAGGCATGGCACAAAATTCAACTCCCACTCTCTTGATTTTCTTGGTGGCCCCGGTGTATTAAATAGAAACGAGTCCTTTCTTGCTACCCAGTCCTGCTGCATCAAACAAAACAGCAGAGTTTTACATCAAGGAGCATGGCCATCTCCTACCTGAAGTCTTGAGATGTTCCAGGTTTTTTGGATGTAAAGACAGGATTTACTTTCTTATTTTGTGAGGGGAGTCTGGGTTTCTTCTTTTCTTTTTCAAAATCTTTTCCTTTCTGATCTTTTTTATGTTCAGTGCTCTTTATCAGTTGTTGAGCTGCATGTTGGTACAGAGCTCTCCCCCCAGCAAAAGGGTCTATAACAAAGCAACATTCTCTATGGGAATAATCTAAAAATACATTTATAATATTATAAAATTCTTACACTTCAATGTAATTCATCCATTAACACTAGGTGCACTTACAATATTTATTTAGGTTTTTTGTTTATTTTACAATATTAGGTGTATTAGATATATTTAACATTAAACTTTCCAGGACATTTAACAACCACGTCCATTTCCACTATAACAGAAACTCCAGCCTTTAGACGATATGATAATACATCATCACATGTGAAAAGATAAAGTGTGTTCAGGGAAGGGGAGAGAGAGATTTCACAGAGATTAAAATCACTAGCAGGAACAATTCTGCTGCAAAGGCGGTGGGTTGTCTGTGAGTCGCATGTTCTTCCCAGAACTGCCTCTGGACGGGTCAGACTCTATACTCTCCGACATCTTTTCACAGATTATATCCACTAGGCGCTCAAAGACCTGTCTCACATTGATGTTCTCTTTGGCACTGGCATCAAAATAATCAAAACCTGTGAAGGAAGCAAAAAAAATAAGTCTGATTATAAAAAGAATGCTTGAAGTAAGTGTAATGGTCTGTTTAAAACACCAACAACTTATTTTGTATTCATTTGGTAGCCAAGAAACACTTCAGAATTACAGGACATCCAAGCAGATTGAAGCTGCCTGTTCTGGCTCAGCTGAGTGAATCTAAGGGGCGAGGCTAACTCTTAATACTACCATGGCAAAGAGCTTTCTAAGCAGTGCTGATGAGTAGGCCCCTAAAGCATTGCTCCCTTCTGATCAGAGAACAATTAAGGTTGGACTTATGTGAAGTTACTGATGATTCCAGGGTTGCTTTTTTTTTTTTTTTTTTTCTAGCATGCCTTTGGTATCCTGCACCCATGAAGCAGTCAGCCATGACACCACCCAGGTCAACCTTCCTGCTCACTCAGGAGCTTAGCCCTCCTTAATTACGAATTTGAATTCTTGTGTGAGACTTCAGGCCAGTGCCTCAGCCATGAGCAGAATATCAATGCACTGAACCAACACTGTCAGCCCCTACAATTCTTTATCTTCCCATTCCCAGAAGTCTAGGAGACTAATCATTATTTACAAGAATTATGTTGTTACTTCTGTTCTTCCTACTATTATATTGTCTACAGCAAGAAGTCAAACTACCATATATAATAATCTGCTTTGCAATAAATTACAATCCATGGTGATTTGTATCATGAGCTTTTGTAGCACATCAGCTCTCGTGTCCCATTACTAAACCAAGGAAAAGAAAAGCCCATTTAACTGACTAGTTTGCCTTCATTTTGTCACTCCAAGTCTCATTGTTTCAATCTGTAAAATAACAAGTAAGTTTCTAAACACACTTATCACTTAAGAATCATTTTTTTGAAAAGGTTCCTCAATTTTAACAGGATAAAATACCTAGCAGCGCCAATACCGACACTAAGCCATTGGCTGTAACTATGCAACTTGAATCATTAGACCGGTAGTTCTCAAACTTTTGTACTGGTAACCCCTTTCACATAGCAAGCCTCTGAGTGCGACCCCCCTTATAAATTAAAAACACTTTTTAACATATTTAACACCATTATAAATGCTGGAGGCAAAGCGGGGTTTGGGGTGGAGGCTGACAGCTCACGCCCCCTCCTCCCATGCAATAACCTCGCAACCCCCTGAGGGGTCTCATCTCCAAGTTTGAGAACCCCTGCATTAGACAATTTGAAGAGATCAACTTTTAAAATTGGTTCTTAGTGACAGTAATATAATAACCTGTCAACAAAAAACAAGAGACTCCAGATAAATAAACTTCTGCCATCAAGGATACCTCAGCTTGTTTAACTTATAGTCACTGGGGGGCTGATTCCTGAAATGCACAGAACAGGAAAGACAAAGGGGACAAAGGTAATTTTAAGCCATCTTCATGGACTGTCCTGCAGCCTAGAATCCTCATAGTATAATAGTAGGATTTTATGTTTGTATTTTGTATAATTACAATGAAGGATAAAGAATAATAATGTAGCATGTATTAAACGTATTGGTGTATGATTTGACCATATTCTGCCAGCCACCCTTTCGGAAAGCAGAAAGGAATGGTCTAATGGGCCATTGGTAAAGATGCATCAGCCAGAATCTATATCTGAGCTGATTTCAAGGTGGTAACAGACCTTTTAGGGTCACCACTTTGTTGTAGGTTTAGTATTTTAAAATAAGTAAAAGAATGCAATGATTGTTTTCTCTTGTATTGCAATTTGATGTTCCTGTTCAAATGTTTTGTGTAAATCAATTCTGTGTTGTGTGTGAATGAGGAATGTGTGTGTTGAGATAAGTGTGAAGGTCATCACCGAACCAGATGTTCTAGAGAGAAACCGAGGACAGATGTAAGGGCGCCAGAAGATTGCAACATGCCCCTATTGAGATGTCAGAGGAGGGCAGATTGATGACTCTAAAGATGAGACAGGCACCTATCAATGGGGACAAGATAGCTGTGATCAAAACCAGCATGGGGTAACTCCCTGAGAGACTTAATGAAAGAACAAAATAAAGAATGAGGAGGACAATTTAAGAAAACAAGCACTCATCAAACAATTGATTACAGCATGACGGTGCAAAACTCATGGGTCCCAATGAGGGAAAATCACTATATAAACAGGGTGCCTTGCCATGAAACTTTGGGCTTGTCCTGCCAAGACTTCCCCGGACCATCGTGTCACGACCAACAGAACCCGTCTCCTACCTACCCGTGATCAACCTAGCTGGCCACTAGATTGATCTGGACTCTGGACTGGTAACTATAACATCGACTGGCGGGACAGAGTGTGTGTGTGTGATTGAATGCATATGCTAATTGTTGTATCTTCAATAAATGCGGCGTATTGCCTTTTCCCCTGAAAAAGATCCTGTGTGCTTATAAGCATAACAATAACACTTTGTGCTTCTATGATGGGGGAATATGCATATACATATTATACACACCTGGGTTGGGGTTGAAATAAGCCCAGGAGTATGCAGTTTGATATATTTCATCCAGATCTATTTAAATGTTTTCGTCACAGATGTTGAGGGAAAATATTAATGAAAATTCTGCTTATTACTAAATAGGCACTGCTGTAATGGACCAGATCCATTACATGTGGACCAGTATTCAGTTTTTGACAGTGGTCAGGAATGGATGCATACAGAGGAAGGTTCAAGTAACCACCTATGGCATGACTCACCCACAAGGGAATTTTTGGCCTAACTTCAGGCATGTCCTGATGCACGAAAGCTTAACACCTTAATATATTTGTATTGTAGGATCAATAATTATTGTCCTAAAAATATTAAAGGCCTGCTCCATCAATATTCCTGTTCATGGCTGAAGTCAAAGGTAGTGCCAAGGATTCAAGATGAGCCTCCAATTGATAACTTGATTAAGTTAATCAATGCAGACTCTTCACCTCAAGCAGACATTGACCAAGTACATCATCTCAGATTATTTTATTGCTCCTATAAATGGTTAGAGAAACATGCATAGGCATAACGTTTACATGAAAGCATTAATATGAAAGCTAACAGTTTAAGCAGGCAATAACCAATTAATCAAACTTCTTTCCCCTCACAAAGTAATTTCAGATAACATTGTACATAATGCCACATCAGCACTTAGAAAAGCTGCCTGATAAAATCTGAAATATTTTAAAATAGACAATGTTTCATACATTATGAGGCTTGAGCAGACTGGAAGTGCCAGGAGCTTCCAGAAACATAATTAGCTTTTGCCTTCTTCTGCCAATGGGGATATATTTCTCCTTGGTGCCTTTGACAAGGTCAGGGATAGGTCAAGAGGTGCAAGTGTGGATTCTTAATTAAAGTAGTTTTGTACTGATGTAATCAGTTGTTATGGAGATAACATGTGCAGTATGTATGCATGCAGACAAGACGCCCTTTGAAATATTCCAGACATAAGGATTTAGACTCGAGATATCAGGAATTTTTTGGTAATGAAAAAAACGGATGAACATCTTAGAAAAAAAATAGAAGATGGGATAGTAGCTCAAACAGAACTTCACATTTGGTTGTACTATGTTTAGGCATTAGGGTCCAAATTTTCAATCACTGAAAGCTAAATTATTCTTCAAAAACAACAAGGAGTCTGGTGGCACCTTAAAGACTAACAGATTTATTTGGGCATAAGCTTTCGTGGGTAAAAACCTCACTTCTTCAGATGTATAGAGTGAAAGTTACAGATGCAGGTGCCACCGGACTCCTTGTTGTTTTTGTAGATACAGACTAACACGGCTACCCCCTGATACTAAATTATTCTTGAAAAATATGCAAGCACCCATGCAAACTATATAAAACATGCAGTTGTGAATGCAAGTTAGGTATCTGTTTTGCAAATGTTTATATTTTCAGGTGCATACTGGGTGCTTGTGTGTGAGAAGAGGACCCATTACCTCTTTTGCAAACTAAACATGCATTTGTTTATTTCATTAGTACTGTACTTAATAAGGCTTCTGTTTTTCAGTGTTTATTTTTAGCAATTTTTGAGTTTTATGTAGATGTCCACAATCAGGGGATGTCGGGGCTCTCTCTTTTATTAAACTGTAATGAGTTAAAGTATAGTAAATATATTATTCATTATATTAGTATATACTGTAATGAGTAATCTCTTTGTAGTGTTTCCCTAGTGTGCTTTAATATAGGGCTGTTTCATACAGCTCTCCATTAAAGTGCACTAGGGAACCTTTAGTGAGCACCAGCAGGGTCTACATGGACCAATTAATGCGCAACATATTAGTGCGCTTTAGAAATCACACCCTTGTAGTGCATATTACTGCCTTATGTAGACAAGCCCTTAGATGCAAGTAACTATTTCCAGAGTTTTTCTGGTGTTTATTGGATAAATATCAATTTCATTCTTTTTGTATCGGGGGTATTTTATCGATGTGAAATTCAGAAGCCCTAACAATAGACCACTACTAAAAAGTAATTAGGATTATAGGAAAAGGCAGCTATTATTTGCATTATGGTAGGACCCGAAGGCTCCAATCTTGATTGTGCTAGGTACGGTTCAAGCATATTTAAGATACAGTCCCTCTCCCAAAGAGTTTACAATCCAAGGCCCTTATCCTGGAGATATTATATCCATGCTTAGCTTTGTGCATATAAGTGCATATTGTATGCTGTTTGAGGTAGGGCTCTGTGTTTGTAGAGTGCCTAGTGCAATTGGCCACCTGCTCCAGGACTGGGGCTGCTAGGCCCTAACACAATGCAAATTATAAATAATATCCATAAACTGAGGTTTGTCCACAACTTCCTCAAGGTCACACATTGAACCAGTGATAAAGCTAGACATACAATTGGGCTCCAGTCCCCTGCTTTTAACAATAGAGTACTATCCCTCCAATTAATAATAGAACCCAACATTACAGATTTGAGAATTGAGTACAGTAGGAGATTTTAATAAAACTGGGGTTATGACAATTCCCGTAAGTGCCCAAAGAACCTTCTCTTTCCTGCAAACCTAAACAAATATTTACAGTAACCCCTTCTACAAGGGTCTCCGGGAAACCGCATTAATTGAAGTCAATTTTAACAAGATTTATCAGATCAGTAGAAATCCTAACGAGACTATGGTGATGTAGTTAAAACATCACACACAAGACCTGATTCTTCAAAGGATTTGCACACATGCTTAACTTTAAGCATGCAAGTAGTTCCACTGAATTCAGTAGGACTACGCACATGCTTCAAGTTAAGCACACACATTACTCTTTGCAGAATTGGAGCGTTCCTTTAACTGCCTCTTGTATATTTTACGCATAATGCTTTGTAGCATTTACTCTGAAACTTTCTATATTACATTCTTTGTCTTAAGTAGAGATATTGGAAACAATACTAAATAGATGAGAAATTGGGATGCATATCCTACATTCTGGTGTTCATTCTAAAATCTTTATTCCAAACTCAGCTTCTTCCAAAAGAAACTGCTCCCTTTTTTCTAGCAATCAGGTGATGTTACTTCTATATGTGGGCAGGAAGCACAGTAAGTAACTGTGATGGTTCTCGGGGTACCCAGGACGGTGAATCACCTTGTTATCCTCTGCCTCCAGCATGAGGGAGACTTGCTTGTGCTTAGCTGGGTGGCAGCTTCCTGACACCACCAGCCAGTTAGCCAGTCAAGCACTCTCCTCTGGGTGATGCTTGCCCTCATTTTGCCTTGCAGGTTAACAATAGGTGCATCCCAGTCCCAGAGCCCCTTTGCAGCATCCTCCTGTAGGGTCCAGCCCCTTATCCACTGAACACCCACAGAAATACCACGTCTGCTCTCCCCAAGGGAACAGTGTACACACCAGCTTGTATGATTCAACTCAGGATCAGAACCTCACTTAATATCACAGCACTTAGATATACTTGTAGCGAAAGCAAAGATAAGATTATCATCAAAGATTCAAGAGATAGCAAGTAAGGATAATGGACACAAAAGGTTAGGTATAAAAAAAAAAACATAATTCACTTTCTAGAGACTAAACAGGCTTACCAGCTGTCTAAAGAAGTTTACCTCAGCCCCCCAAAGTCCTCTGCAACCAAGGCTGGTTGTGATCCCATTTTCATGAATCTAAACACATTGCACGTTTACTTCCTAGGTGCAGGATGGGGGTGGGGGAGGGCATCATTTTTGCCTTCTACTTCTATCCCCAAAGTTCATTGTCTGTATTCTGACACAGTATAACAGTTTCCCCTCCCCCCACCTTATTTGTTTTCCTGAATGCTCTTCATATGTTGACTTTGCATGTAAATGTATATCCATTGTGTTAGCCTGCAATGCTTAATTTACATCTCTCAACAGGTGAATAAACATTTCTTATCTGTGAGAAAACATGTCTGTCAACCCTACCTTGATACAGACTTTAAAACGTATTTTCAGTATACCGTATAAACACATAATTCCTTATATAGTATCTGTACATACAGTTCACTACGATATTAATGACCAGTGTGACCCTGGCTTTCATTTAAGTCCTCACATTAGCTTCTTTGGTGAACATTAAGGTACATACCAGAACTAGGACACTCCTGTATCCCCCTTGCTAGCTGGCATTAAGGAATTCTTGGGTTACAGTAACTACTGGATTTTTTTGCTCCACTCTAAAGAACAATTTATAATCTCTGATAAATTGCAAAAAAAAAAAATTTAAAAATCGGGTGTAAAAGCAACTTTAAATTCTGAAAATGACACTGTAGTACTCAGCAGAGTGGTATATAATATTTAACTAGACCATTATCTTATTTGCAGCACTGATATTGTACTGTTGGAAGAACTTTTTAATATACAAGTAAAAAGGAACACATTATAAAAAGAAAAGAAGGGAAGCTTTAACACATACCTAACTGATCAGCCAGATGTTTACCCTTTTCCAGAGGAATGATTCTTTCATCCTCCATGTCACACTTGTTTCCAACCACAATGACTTGTGCATTATCCCAGGAATAGGTCTTGATCTGAGTGGCCCTATAGCAGGACAGAGAAAATAGATAATGTATTGTCAGTAGTGCCAAAGAATGTTATATGTTAATTTATAATGAAAATAAATACTTATAAACATTAAACCCAATTCCAACTGTAGATCAGCTGTTGATTAAAAGGTAAATTACCAAACATATATAAGGCAGCAATGCAACATTTTAAGGTATATGAATGATGATAGATTCTATTTTATTATCCGAATACTTTGTATACAAAGTTAATGTACCAATAAAGTTTCCCAGTCACATTTTTTAAATATTTTAAACATTGTGGAAACAGAACAAAAAGCTGAATTCAGTAGTGTCATTTTATACATTTTAGGAAAATTAACACAACTTCTATGGCCTCTTCTGCTTGTATAAATCAGTCAGTGACCATAGAATCATAGAATACCAGGGTTGGAAGGGACCTCAGGAGGTCATCTAGTCTAACCCCCTGCTCAAAGCAGGACCAATCCCCAGACAGATTTTTGCCCCAGATCCCTAAATGGCTCCCTCAAGGATTGAACTCACAACCCTGGGTTTAGTAGGCCAATGCTCAAACCACTGACCTATCCTGCATTTACACCAACTAAGGCTCTGCCCCCTAAAGAGAAGAATATATAATAGATGTACACTTAGGGTAACCAGATGTCCCCATTTTATAGGGACAGTCCCGGTTTTTGGGTCTTTTTCTTATATAGGCTCCTATTACCCCCCACCCCCTGTCCGATTTTTCACATTTGCTGTCTGGTCACATTTGCTGTAAACTACTATTCAGAAGGAATCACAATATACGGTACAAGATACGACAAAAATAACCCAGAACTGAATTACAAATTCAATGCCTCTGGACAAATAAATGATGCTTAATTTGCGATTGCTATTATTTTATTTTTATACAAATTGTTAGAAAAGAGAATGCAGTAGATGTAATATTTAGGATTTTAGTCAAGTATTTGAAATGGTTTTTCATGAACTCATGCTGAAAAATGGAATCATCTTGAGTAGAGTAGGAAAGCTGTCATGTGGACTAAATACTGGCTAAAAACCTGTAAAAAAAAAAAAAAAAAAAGTAAAGATAAACAAATGTATCAAATTGGGGGGAAATGGGATTTAGTGAAAGATTAGCTCATATGTATAGCTTGACTAAGGGATGTCTAATGCAGCAATGAGCAGACATGATAGTCTGCAAGTATCTGATGATGGTTAACTACAAGGACTGAGGAATTATTTAGTGTGGTACATGGGGGACCACCTGTAGTAACTGAATAAATTTAGACTGAATATCTACATTTAAAACATCTAAAGTGCTTTCTGGCTTGGTATGTGGTGGAATTGAAATGGAGTTTGTTGTGGAGCTGCGGAGTCGAGGAGTGTTATGTTTTATGAAGTTTATACAGTAAGGCATGTGCTGAAATTGCTGTGGATGCTAATATGAGCTTAACTACACCTCTACCTCGATATAACGCTGCCCTCGGGAGCCAAAAAATCTTACCGCGTTATAGGTGAAACAGCGTTATATCGAACTTGCTTTGATCCGCCAGAGTGTGTGGCCCTGCCCCCCCCGGAGCACTGCTTTACTGTGTTATATCAGAATTCGTGTTATATCGGGTCGCATTATATCGAGGTAAAGGTGTACTCAGTTTCCTTGATTTTCAGTGAGTGCATTGATGGAAAATGCACTTGTGCAATCTCAACGGTAAGCTAACTAAGGCTAGGTCTACACTACAGCGGGGGTCCGACCTAAGATACGCAACTTCAGCTACGTGAATACCGTAGCTGAAGTTGCGTATTTTAGGTCGACTTACCTGGCTGTGAGGACGGGGGAAAGTCGACCGCTGCCGCGCTGCCGTCGACTCCGCTGCCGCCTCTTGCCGCGGTGGATTTCCGGAGTCGACGGCAGAGCGATCAGGGATCGATTTTATCGCGTCTTCACTAGACGCGATAAGTCAATCCCAGAAAACCGATTGCCTGCCGCCGGACCCTCCGGTAAGTGTAGACAAGCCCTAAGTTTTAGGAGTAGGAACAAGACAAGAGTTATGAGTTGGAAGATGATGTTTAATGGTAGTCAGATTTCATGGATCAAATCTTGGCTTTAGACAACGTGTATATTGTCCCCAAACTCAAATCTAGGGGAAAGGAAAGTTATGCTGAGTCCTCGTTTTAGCTCCCCAAATCAATGAAATTCACTCTCTGCAGCCCCTCAACCCACTGAGCTGCAGAGGGGCATTCCAGGTGGGGCTTGGGAATGTGGTTGTGGCATGCACATATAAACAACCCAAGAATAAAAAAAAAAAATTAAAAGAGAGAGAGAGAGAGAGAGAGAGAGAGAGAAGGTCCTTAAAGTCAGGTTTCTAAGTTCGTATATACCTGAAGAATTGTTGTGATTTTCAAAAGAACTGAGCATCCAGCAGCTCCCACAGAATACAGGCTAACCAAAATAATTTTACCCCTTTTGACATGAGTTGTTAGCCAGTATTCAAGGTCTTGTGGATTGTTTCCATTAGGAGGAGAAACTGAGGTGAAGTCAGGTATTTCTTTGATGCAATCCTGTTTATTTACAAAAAATGTACACTAAATCCTTTGTCCCTGAATGTAGGAGGAATCAAATAGCAGGAGAACATTTCTTTGTTCACAGTTTCAAGCCTCTTTTTAGCCAGCACTCTTCCCAAATGCTCTCTAGGTTTTTTCAGGGTCACACTACAAGTGTTTCTCCGATTATCTCTGGGGTTTCCTTGCTGCCTTCTGTGTACATTGTAGTGTTTCTCTTGCTTCTCTTTGGGTACATCTACACTGCCTTCTTAAGTCAGGTTAGGTAACCTACATTAGCTAATTCATGTTAACCTAGTAGGGAAGGCATGGCAATTTGGCTTTCAACTTAGGTTAGTGCTACTGTGTCTTCACTGTTGTTAACCTGAGTTAGCTAACACAGGTTACCTAACCTGACTTAAGAACACAGTTTATTCGCAGAATACACGTACCCTTAAACATGCACATGCGCACACACACAGCTGCAACAAAAAATACTGAGTCCCCTGTGTTTGCATTCAGACCCCAGTAAAACCCCTCTCTCACATAGCTCAGATTCCTAACCGGCCTTGTAAGTGGCCTGTGTTTTGGGTGGTGGCTCTTATTGTTTCAGCTGTCTTTTCCATAAAGGAGCTTAATTACTTCTAACATTTGTCGCAAATGAAGGGCATCTGGTACACCCAACAGCTTCAGCAAACTTTCACCCAATCCCAGCATAACAACATTATTTTTTCATCCATTTGCCAAGAGAGAGCCAGGATTCTACCCAAGTTTTTATTTCTATTTAGTTTACTTAAATTGCTCTCCCTTTAATAACATGGGGCTTGATTCCTTCAGCTTCTGATTCACAAAGAACCTCCAATGCTGATTCTGATTCACTCTTGATAATTTAAGTTAATTGTGAACAGCCCACTCTCCTCTCCCACAGAAATGTCAATTACATGATTCCATGAGTATCTGTTAAGCAGGGGTTCATTTTATTGTGCAAATTGCCTTAAATAAATAAACAGCACATTTGATTTGTAGATGAGGAAATTAGTCTAAACAAAGGCCCTTCCTTGAGTTCAGGCTGATTTTTCAAAATGCAAAAATTATACAGAATGATGTATTTTGAGGCTGACAATTTCACCTTACAGGCTAGGAAATGTAACACCTGGGGTTTGATTTACGTTTGCTCTTTACTAACATGATTTTTTCCTTTTTTATTATGTTGCAGGTTGTTTTAACTCTTTTTTCTTGTATTCTGTGTTTGTACAGCTGATTCCTACCAGCAACTTATTTTTTCATTGGATGATTTATAGTTAAAAGGATGGCCAGGCTGACGGTCTAGGAGAAGGGGACAGTGATATGGATGCAGTACCTTGGGAGAGACTTACTGGAATTTCCTGAGTGCCTTGTTCTTGCATCTCGCTGGTAGTACTAAGATAGGCAATATTTTCAAACCTTATAATATTCGATTACAAGATCCACAACCTTTTCAGAAGCATTCTCGGAAAATTGCTGTATCCGAGATAGAGGATGCACAATGTAATCTCCAGGAACTGCTAGCAAATAGAATGATTGCTGAATCGTGCAGACTGTATCCCTCCCCCAAAGTGGTGGCCAGGATCTCTTGTTAATGTCTGACGAGTTCACCTGTGAGTAGAGTGAGGCCACGTCTACACTACAAAATTAAGTCGACCTAACTTACGTCGGCATTCAGCCACCGCAGTAATTTCATTGTTTGTCTACACTTTGCTCCTTCTGTCGGTGGTGCGCGTTCTCACCAGGAGTGCTTGCACCTATTCAGCTTTCACTGTGGGGCATTGTGGGACAGCTTCTGAAAGCCAGCAACAGTTGATGTAAGCAACAGTGTCTACACTGACACTGTGTCGACCTAACTACATTGATATTGACTCTACGCCTCCGGTGGAGTTATTAAGTTGGTGTAGCAGGCGAGTTATGACGGCGGGAAGTAAATTTTAGTGCAGATACTTACATAGTTGGTACATGTCAGCTGCCTTGTGTCGACCTAACTCTGGTAGCATAGACCAGGCTCAGTTCTCAAAACAATTTTAGACCTACCTGAAGAAACGAAGGATTCTGCTCTGATGACACTTGTTTGTTGTTGGATAATTTGAACATACATGCAGAAGGTGTTCCACATCCCCTGGAACCTACACCCTGGAGATTCAATACACATTCTGTACATTTCCCAGAAGGTAGCACAACCATGTGCTCCTGCGCAGTGAGCCAAGCACCATTTTGAAAAAGGTGTAATTGTACTTTAAACTAGTGGGTGGCAATGGCAGGTGCTGTGAGGAGAGTAGCTGTCGCCACTGTCTTTCCTGGCCGGGTCTGCATGCGTTAGAGCCGCCATGGCTGCATAGGGGTGTCCAAGTCCCACACTGGGAGGGCGGCAATGCACACAAGGGCCCACAATTGTAGCCTCCCCGCCTGGAACAGGGAAGGAGGTATGGTGGAGGCGGAGCGGGC